GTGACATTAAACTCTAAAAATAACAAACTCAGCTTATATTTACTTTTTCTTTTTCTCTTTCCTAAGCCCTCCTAAGCCTCCTAAGCAGCAGGTATAACACAGGGATTGTTGCGACAGCTGTTTTATTAGATCCCATCTGAAATCTTGTTGCCTACATGGAAAGGCATCCTCTTCCCTGCTGAGATTCTCCAGAATCCACTCTTTTTTTTTTTTTTTGACAGAGTCTCACTCTGTCACCCAAGCTGGAGTGCAGTGGCGCGATCTCAGCTCACTGCAAGCTCTGCCTCCTGTGTTCACGGCATTCTCCTGCCTTGGCCTCCCAAGTGGCTGGGACTACAGGCACTTGCCTGCACCGCCTGGCTAAATTTTGTATATTTAGTAGAGATGGGGATTTCACCGTGTTAGCCAGGATGGTCCTCGATCTCCCTACCCGGCCTCCAGATCTAGCCTACCCCTCGGCCTCTCAAGGTGCTGGGATTACAGGGCGTGAGCCACTGCGCCAGGCCCAGAATCCCTCTTTAGACCCACCAACATCCAGGATAAGTCAGTGAAGGCTGCACTCACTTCTCTGACTCAGGTGAAGAATCACTGGCTCACACAAAATCTCCTGGTTGGTCCTCTGGGTTCACACACATTTCCACAGCCCTCTGCTCATAACTTTATACATACAAAATCATTTGCCCAATACTTTAAGACCCCCAGTTTTTTAAACAGGAACCCAGATTAAAGGTTTCTATATGCACAAAAAAGCCATCAAATTTGTTTCTCAGAAAATTGAGTTAGTTGAAGGTCGCACCTGGACACGTAGTGGTAAAATCTGTAGAGACAAAAGAAAGTGCTATGAGGATCAGATCAATTCTGCCCCTTTACAGATCTCTGTTAGTCTCTTGATGACTTCAGAAAACTGGTTGTGAAACAGTTATTTGAGTCAAAGTCAAAAGACAAAACATTTCTAGCTGAGAGGATACATGTGGAAAAGACAAGAGTTGTTCCCACCAGAATTTATGTTTGAGGTTGATTTAGATTGGTAAATGCACAAGGTCTAATCCAAGGAGAAAAACTGGTGTGGAGGAAAATGCCTCTGCATTACAGCTGATGATGGATGCGTCACATTGGCATAACCTAGTGTGTCATGTATTAGATGAAAAGAAACTCAGACTGAACTCCCACCCTCACAAGAGAATCCAGCATATGTTGTACATAATGTGCCTTGTCACATTTTTATGTCAAAATTAATTGAGAAGGAAAGAAATCAGGTGAAAGAAATATGTATACAGTGATCTATTTTTAACACAAAGTACATTGAACCAGTTGAGGTCAACAAAAGTGAAAAAATAGCATATGCCAGGCTCCTGCTTGGATGGAGGCAATGCCTGCTTGTTTGGTGCTCCCCTCTCACTCCCCAGTTAGTTACCCTCACTTCAGCAAAGTTTAATAGTCTAAGATGAGTGTACTAGGCGAAAAGCTAAGCTCGTTTTGTCTGTTCTTATCAGCCTGCCCAGCTCATGGAGTCATAAGTCAAATACTTGAGAAGAGACCCTGAGCCCATTAGGTTGGCAATGCATTGTGGGGCTTCAACAAAATGCAGTAAGACAACCCTAGAAAAATACCTAAAGCCCCTCCCCAACTATCAATAGGCAACACCTGGGAGGGCCACGGCAGCCCCACAGTACTCAGCCTATGAGGAACCAGGAGACGAGCCTTCACACTAGAGCATTGCTTGTTGAAACTGTGCTGGGTGTGTCTGCCCATCAGACACCAGCTCTTTGAAAATACTGTCATTGAAAATCTCACTTTCGGCCAGGCAGGGTGGCTCACGCCTGTAATCCCAGCACTTCAGGGGGGCCGAGGTGCATGAGGTCCACCTGAGGTCAGGAGTTTGAGACCACCTGGCCAACAGGGTGAAACTGTCTCTGCTAAGAATACAAAAATTAGCTGGGCATGGAGATACATGCCTGTAATCCCAGCTACTCGGGAAGCTGAGGCAGGAGAATTGATTGAGGCCAGGAGATGGAGGTTGCAGTGAGCCAAGATCGCTGCCACTCAGCTGCGCTAACTGAGAGAAGAAAGGAGAAAGCAAGCAAGCAAGCAAGAAGAAGAAAGGATAAGGAAGGAAAGGAAGGAAAGGAAAGGAAAAATCTCACTTTTGCTGTTTTTCAGCTCCTAGTCTATTCTTTTGAGTTTTGACTGCTGAGTTTATTTTCTCAAATCAGAGAAACCAGCATTTCTTAGATGACCAAGGTGGTCTTACAAACGGCATCATAATCATCATCATCGTCACGCCATCATAATCTTCACTCCGTGGTAGAGTTACTAAACTCAGGTTGTCCTCTGGAGAAGCTGGAAGGACACTGAAGGAAAAATCAGTGCCCTGGGTGTTTGTGACTGTGAGGTCACTCCAGGGGAGCTTTGCTGGATGTGGTGTATGGAGGTGGTTGATTAACAAGCATGGACTGCGTTGACGCTGGGCTATTCCCCTGAGTGGAAGAGGGATGTTATTAGAGGAGGGAGCAGGAAAGACATGAGACATGAGAGCCTTGGCCTTGTACTAGAAGGCATCCAGGCAGCAACACAAAAGAGTCAACCCAAATGGAACTAAAGCACACACTGAGGTCAATGGAAGAGTGCCTTATTCCTCTCAAATGTTTTGAAACTCTTTACAAACAAACAGCGACTTTTCTTAATGTATTCAGGAACCCTGTCAATCACAGTAGGATCAATTACGCTGGTACTACATTTAGCATATGTTTTAAAGGATTTATTAGCAGTTAAAGCCTATTTGATTAGTAAAATGGGACTCCAATTTCACAAATTACTCTATTGTATTAACCACATTCTTTTCCACTTAGAACATTTTTGAAATTAAATATTAAAATGTTACAATTAAAAACAATCCTTGATTTCCTCTTTGCCAGTCTTCTGAATATGTCATTGTGTGCACACACCGAAAGGAGCTTTGCTGATCGGGGCTTCAAGCAGGTCCTGTGTCACTCCTGAGGAGATTCCTTAGGGATCAGGCTTCATTCAAACAGGATAAACTCACAGACCCTGCTGTAAGTATACCAGTGAAGCTGAGAGACATGACTCTGAACACTTTCTCTCTTAGAGACATCTTTGGCATTAAAACTTATTATCTACAAACCAAGAATGCATAACAAATAGAAGTGTCACAACTCATGAAATGTCCATGAGTACAGGTGTGATTTTTCCGTTAAGTAGCTTACATAAAATTTTTTTATTTGATGCCTATTCAGACATACAAAATATTGGTATAAAAAAATCACAAATTTGGCCGGGTGTGGAGGCTCATGCCTATGTGCCAGCACTTTGGGAGGCCGAGGTGGGCAGATCACTAGGTCAGGAGATCGAGACAACCCACAGCCAGCGTTATAAAACCGTGTCTCTAATAAAAACTTAAAAATTAGCTGGGCATGGTGCCTCGTGCCTATAGTCCCAGCTACTCAGCAGCTGAGCAAGAGAATCACTTGAACCTGGGGCCCACAGGTTGCAGTGAGCCAGACAGCATGTTGCTACACCAATGTGGTGACAGAGTGAGACTCTGTCTCAAAAAAATAATAATGAAAAATAAATCACAAATTTATGTCAGTCATATTAAAAACCTAACTTATCAGCTATCAACATAAGATTCTAGAAAGTAAAGAAGGTACAAATAAGTTGAAAGGCATCTCATATTCATGGATAGAACGACCAAACCACAGCTAACACACAATACTACACAAATCATCTACAGACTCACAACAATTACTATCCATTGGTAACAGCCATCTGTGCAGAAATGGAAAAGATAATCCTAAGACTTTAATGAATTTTTATGTACCTCCAAATAACCATGGTAACATTGAAAAAGAATAGTATTTGGAGGAGAGAAAGCACATTCATGAGATTGAAATCTACAAAAAACAGAGAATTCCAGACAGCACCTTCTAGCTGGGGGCACCCATAAATATCACAGATATAGAATAGAGCTCAGAATTAAATGCACACACAGAGTCAGCTGATCTTCAACAGAGGTACCAAGGGCTGTGGGGGAAGGAAAGCCTCTTCCACAACTGATGGTAAACTGCATATTCTCATTCAAATGAAGAAATGGAATACTGACAATGTGCTCAAGGTTGTGCTTTCCCCTTCATTTCCAAGACACTGGAGCTTTTGCAATGAGCCCAGAGTAATTTTTCATTCTGTCCTCTGGCGCACAAGGAGATGTCTATCAAGACATACCAGAGGTAAACAGCAGGACAGACAAATAATGTGCTGCCATGAAACCCAACAGTTCATAAGGTGAAAATTCATTTCTCCTATGCATCTGGAGCAGACCCGTGAAAGAATACTGTCTCAGGATTAAGTAACTGCCTGTGACAGAACTGTGTCCCAAACCAAAAGTTCTGACATTTTTGCATTAGCTGGGGCAGAAAGGCAGTTGTTCTCAGAAAGTTCATCTTTAAATAATAGAGAAGGAGTGATCAAAAACACAGGATACTCAATAGTCCATAAACATAGTACTCCTCACCATGATGACATTAAACTCTGAAAAGAAAAAACTCTGCTTATATTTACTTTTTCATTTTCTCTTTCTACACCCTCCTCAGCCTCCTAAGCAGGTGTAACTTCTAAAGTTCCTGGAAATGCTGTTTTATTAGATCCCACCTGATGTCTTGTGCCTACCTGGAAGAGGCATCCTCTTCCCTGCTGAGATTCTCAGAATCCACTCTTTGAACCCACCAACATCAGGATAAGTCGGTGAGAGCTGCACTCGCCTCCTACTCAGGTGAAGACACACTGGCTCACAGAAAATCTCCTGGTTGGTCCTTGGGTTCACACACATTTCTACAGCCCCTCTGGTGTCGTTATACATTACTGCAAATCATTTGCTCTCACCGACCCCAATAATGAGTCTGGTGAGAGCAAATGAAACAGACTCAGGTTTCTATGACAAAGCCAGGAAGTTTGTTTCTCAGAAAGTGGAGTTAGTTGATCGATACCCTGGACATGTGATATGGTAAAATCTGCAACAAGACAAAGAAGATGCTATGAGGATCAGATCAATTCTGCTGTACCCCTTACACAGATCTGTTAGTCTGTTGATGACTTCAGAAAACTAGCTGTGAAACAGTGGTTGAGTCAAGGTCAAAAGACCAAACATTCTAGCATGAGACACCTGTGGAAAAACAAAGAGCTTTCCCACAGAATTTATGTTTGATTGATTTAGATTGGTAAATGTACAAGGCCTAATCCAAAGAGAAAAACTACCGTGGAGGAAAATGCTTCTGCATTACAGACGATGGATGTTGCCCTTCAAAGCACTAGCATGTCATATTACATGAGAACACTCCCGCCTGAACTCCGTCCCAACAAGGACTATTGTGTATATTATGCTGTTCCTCATCATATGCTTATGTCAAGATTAATTGAGAATGAAAGAAATCAGGTGAAGAAATAAAGTATACAGTGAATCCATATTTAAAACAAAGTGCCTTGAACCTGTTTAGGTCAGCAAAGCACAGAAGAAATAGGATATGCCAGGCTCCGAGGGATGGGGCAAGGCCTGCTTGTTGGGCCCCCTCACTCCCCATAGTTCCCATCACTTGAACAAAGTTTAGTCAAGGATGAGAATTTTACTAGCCTGCAAAATAACATTTAGCTTTGTCTGTTCTTATCAGTCTGCCCAGCTACTTAGGTCATAAGTCAAACACTTGAAGAACCCCTGGTGGCCTAGGATGGCAATGCATTGTGCAGCTGCAACAAAATGCAATAAGACAACCCTAAATAAAAAAATACCTAAAGCTCCTAACCAACAATCCAATGTCGACATCTGAATTATGACCCCATAGTACTCAGCCTACTTGAGGAACAAGGAGACAGTCCTGCATAGGGGATAAATTGCTTGTTGAAATTGTTCTGGAGTGTGTCTGCCCATCCAAGCACAATCTTACAAGGCCATCAAAATTCTCACTTTCTCTGTTCTGCAGGCCTCTGAGTTCATTCTTTGGGTGTGAATGGTGAGTTGTTTCTCACATCAGAAACCAACATTTCCTTAGAACAAAGGGAAAAGGAGTCTTACCTGGGCATAATCATTGTCTTCCTCACTTGGTGATAGAGATTTTAAACTCAGGCTGTCCTCAGGGGAACCTGAGACACAAGAGTTAATGTCAGTGCCTAAGTGGTTGGAGACTGTGAGTCCTCAGAGAGCTTTGCTGGATGCGGCATATAGGTGTAGAGACTAAAGGAATTCTAGAACTATCTCAAACAACTATAGTCAAATGTGAAGCATGCAGGGAGTCTCTGAATACCTCACATCTTAGTCAGTGCCTGGACCTAATAAGACTCTTGCATTCCCAAGTCCCAGAAGATATTAACCAGTCAAAGTCAGAGGCTTCCGAGTGTTTGCTGTGACCTTAGACAAGACAAACCGGTCTTCTGGAAAGTAACCATTAAACACCAGAGCAAGAAAAAAAAAAAAAAAGGTTACAAACACAGCACACAAAGCCCACGGACACAAATTGTCTCACCTCTATCTTATTAAAATACAAAAGGAACAAATCAGACTTCTACACATATTTCCTTTGATTCTGACTTCCTCACCCTTTTCCTAGGTTCCAAAATAACAAGTGTCACCCAACTGCTCCCAGAGATCCTCCTAGAGTATCATTCTCCACCACAGGTCTGCCCCTCATTGCAGCTGCCCTCATGGACGGTGTCCATTGGCCAATCTTTAGAGACAAAACTCCTGAAGTTATTCCAGAGAGCAGCTCGCCGACCCTTCTACTCCAGGTGAGGCCACACTGGGATTACGAGATCACTCTGCCCTTCCCTCGGTGTTGAACAGACTCTCCTGAGCTCTATGGCATCAGAGGTCTCTAGAAAGCATTGCTCACATACATCCCAGCCTTCAAGTGAGAAACAGGAACTGAAGGAACCCGTTTCAACTTTTTTCCTTGACTGGCCCCGTTATAGGTCTCACCTCCAATCTCATAGCCCTGAGATTCCCACTTTGATGTATGCCTTTGACTTAGGGAGTCAACAATCGGCCCCTCAGCCAGGCTCAGCAGATGTGAAAGAGCATTCTGCGGGGATGGAAATCTCTCCGCTGCATGAACAGAAAGCTGCTGGGCCATTGCATGGTGGCTGTTGTGATGAGGTTCTGATTTTTTTTTTTTCAAGATGGAGTTTCACTCTTGCTGCCCAGGCCGGAGTAAAATGGCATGATCTTGGTTCACTGCCACCTCTGCCTCCTGGATTCAGGCAATTCTCCTGCCTCAGTCTCCTGAGTAGCTGGGATTACAAGCGTGCACCACCACACCTGGCTAATTTTTGCATTTTAGTAGAAGCAGGGTTTCACCATGTTGGCCCAGGCTGGTCTGAACTCCTAACCTCAGGTGATCCACCTCCCTGGCCTCCCAAAGTGCTGAAATTACAGGTGTGAGCCACCAGCCACAGCCTGAACTTTTAATTGTAAATATTTAAATGTATTTATGAGGAGGCACATGTATGTCTGAGAACGTTAGACGGCACAGGAGATCCAGACATGAGGAAGACGCTGACTCCCCTCCCCTAGTGTTTTCTAGCGAAACAGTTTGCAGCTCTGCTCCTACCATACATTTATGGTTACTTTCTGAGCATCTACACAGGGCCAGTGCTGTGTGGGCACAGAGGATATGCTATGTGGAACAACATCCAGGTCAGAAGGATTCCAGCAGGTGGCGCGCATGGACACGGGAAAGGGCGTGGCCCTGCACCCCTGTCTAGACAGGACCAGAGAAGCAGGGCCGAGGGGCAGGGCACCTCACTGTCCTCAGGAGCTCAACCTCATCTCCAGGGACCCTGACTCAAGCTGGGAGGCAGGCTCCAGGGGTTGGTGTAGGGCTCAACAGGCTGGACAGACTGAGAGGAACATTTCACACGTGCGCTAGATCCCAGCCCAGGGCTGACCTAGAACTCATCCCAGGGATGGGTTCACTACAGTGCCATGGGGCCTAGCATGTTCTCCCAGGACTGAACTCTGGGGTAAGGACTAATGGGGAAGACACAGTCACTGCCCTGACAGAAACACCTATAGCCAGAGGTTCCTCTATCCCACCCTGTAGGAAGATACAATGCAGATAGAGTTTGACACCAGAAGATTCAAACCTTCTATAAAATAAGTGGGGAAACTGATGTGTTCTATAGATTCCACAGAAGAGTTGCAAGGATAAGCTGGACTCTGGAATCAGTCCTCATCCCTTTGCTGAGCTCCTGGTGCACTGGAACTCGTGTCCCTCCTCACACTCCTGCTACTCAAAGGTGCTGCCTGACTGAACCCAGTACTAAAGCTCTATCCAGATGAAACACATATCAGCAGAGCATGGTAGCTCAACGTGTAATCCCACCACTCTAGGGAGGCTGAGGTGTGTGGAGTCATCTGATATCAGGAATTCGAGACCATCCTAGCCAACATGGAGAAACCTCAAGCTATACTACAAATAAAAACTAGCTGAGGTGGTGGTGCATGCCTCTAATTCCAGCTACTCAGCGAGCTGAGGCGGGAGGGAATCACTTGAACCTGGGAGGTGGAAGTTACAAAGAGCTGAGATGCGTGCCACTGCCTCCCAGCCAGGGGGTGACAGACTCCATCTCAAAACAAACAAAAACAAAACAAAAACACACATTTCTGGGCAGACAACCCTTGGTCAGCAGTGTCTCTCAAGGACCATTCTCAAGTGGCTTCCAGAAGAGGTGAAAAGAAAACTCCTCTGTCCCAGCCCCAGGAAGATGAGGCCTGGGGGCCCTGTCTGTGTCTATCCTGACCCCCTGAAGTCCATCCCTGCTGACTTGTATCCTGTCTGCTCCATGTCATAAAAGTGAGGACCTGATTCTTGTTCTGCCTCCTCACCAATTTCTGCTGGTGTCACTGTCATCATCGCACCAAAGAGATAGAGGAGAAGACAAAAGAACAATGAAACTCCATTCTTCAGGCATTTAGGATGAAGTCCACCATGCCCCCGGCAGACAGGGAGGCCAGGTCTGCTCCTCCTACTCAGAAGGTCCTCAGAATATAAATACTAATCACCTTGATGTTTTCTCCTCTGCTCTTCCTTTCTTTTTCCTTTTTTCTTTTCTTTTCTTTTTTTTTTTTTTGAGATGGAGTCTCGCTCTGTCACCCAGGCTGGAGTACAGTGGAGTCGATGCTCGGCTCATTTAAACTCATGACCTCAGGCGATCCACTGCCTCAGCCTCCCAAAGTGCTGGGATTACAGGCATGAGCCACCATGCCCAGCCATGGATTAGGAGCATTTCTAGAGCCTGAGGTAGTCCTGTTGGTAAATACAATGCAATATCTTCCTGATCCTTCCCTGCTTTGACCAAGTGCTGAAAGAGGAATGAGCCCGCTTTTAGATGTTGACCTGCACTGTTCTACATGATCCCTTACACTTCTCAGCATCTGTGAGCTGACCAGAAGCCTGTGGGCTTTCTATGTATTCACAGTAATGTCCATGCTGTGGTGAGCGTTCTGTGAACAAACGTCTGTTATTCCCTGTACCTTTTTTATACCCAGGGTTATGTGACCACTGGAGCCCCATTTGATGATGGGCAAAGTTTGGCAGCTTATAGGCCACACAGTTCGAGGCACACACAGGTGCTGGAACTCCTGGTGTGGGGTCCCTGTCACCAAGCCTGAGTGGTGACACAGGTGAGTCATACAGACCATCAACATTTAGGACCCATTTCTGGAGTTCACTTGCCTCCTCCATTCAGAGGTCAGAATCTGGGTTCACTCCTTTCTGCACTCTCTCCAGCTAAGGAGTAGGGATATTAAACCGACCTTCCAGGTACAGCTGAGGTGAGGGGAGAAAAGAGGTCATTTATGTAAAGTGTATGGTGGTGCTGATGTTTCTCTTCCTTTTTATTAGAAGACATGACTCGGGAGGCTGAGGTGAGAGGACCGCATAGGCCAGGAATTCAAGAAAAGTGACACTTGTACAGTGCACAGGCATGCGGAGCCACATTTTTCAGGAAAACTTCCCACATTTTAGTTTCTCTTCCTTTTTATTAGAAGACATGACTCGGGAGGCTGAGGTGAGAGGACCGCATAGGCCAGGAATTCAAGAAAAGTGACACTTGTACTGTGCTGGGCATGTGGGGCCACATTTTTGGGGGAAAACACACATTTACAAACACACTCACACTCACTACACATGGATTCACCCCTAGCTACCTCCCAACCCTCCTGCACACAAACCCACACCATCTAAATGATATGGCTGTTTCCAGGGACTGTAGTGGATGATCACAGTTCTTCACTGAGCCATCTGTTTCTCACACTACACTCCAGGTCCTCACTCTTATCAGGAACCAGAAGCCAGGCAGGCTCTCCAGACAAAAACAGGCAAGAGAGTCCCCCGCGACCCATCACTTAGATTTGTCATCAGCAAGGGAGTGGTCTTAGACTATGAATGGTGTTAGAGAGGAGAATAACACACACTAGGGTCTGTCGGGATGGGGAAAGGAGAGCATCTGCATACACAGATAATACATGCAGGGCTTAATACCTAGTTGACAGATGCAGCAAACCACCATGGCACACTTTTACCTGTGTAACAAACCTGTACATCCTGCACATGTATCTCAGAACTTTAAAAAAAAAAAAAAAAAAAAGAACCAAAAAAAAAGAAGAAGAAGAAATAGCCACAGTAGGCAAATCTACTGCAATAGAAAGTAGATGAGTGGCTTCCTAGGGCCAGAGGTGTAGGGAGGTTGGGGAAAAGAGAGGAGTAACTACTAAGGGATATGAGGTTTATTTGAGGGGGAATGAAAAGGTTCTAAAATGAGATTGTAACAATGGTTGCACAACCCTGGAAATATAGTAAAAACACTGAATCACCCACTTGAAATGAGTGAATTGTTTTGCATGTTAACTATGTCTCAATAAAGCTTTTTTTAATAACAAAAAATAATACTTACAGTAGGAATTTTGGGCTGTATAGTTCATCTGCAATAGGAGAAAGAAAATGCCATAAGGAGTCGATCATGCTGGGTCCCGTTTGCACAGGTCTTTTATTCATGATGACATTAGAAAACCACATATCAAACAGTAATCAAGTCACTGGCCCCCAGGTAAAGCATAGAAAATGCTTGTGGAAAAGGCAATGGGTTTTCATGGAATATTTGCAAGTCCAAGTTGGCTGGCAAATGCAAATTATTTTACAAGAAGAAAAAGTTGCTACTAAGAAATAGCTCACTACCAGACGGTTTGTAGGTGATGCTGTCATTTTCACTGTCATCGTCAATCAGGCCTCAGTTGGTCATAAACTCAAATGGCTGGTCGCACAAGGCCACAGCAACTGAAACCCAATTAATATGCTTATCAAGATGTATTAAGCATTGTCTTCCCAAAGAAAATTATGCCAGTCATCTGTTATGTACATGGTCAGATTTTATATCTTCATTTCATTTGTAAAGGAAAGAAGCCTCAGGAAAAGAACATTTCTATCTTCCAGATGAAGGGAATGCATCTTACCATATCCAGAGTAACATCTTATTTTCCAGGAAAATATCAAGGTCACCTCCTCCAGGTCTGGAGACACAAACTAGGAGAAGACATACGAGTGACAGTCAGTGCTGAGGAATCCCACAAGGAATAGCAGGGGATGTGAACCGGGAGCTGGAGTGTATGGAAGTGGGTGGTTGACAAGCATGGACTGAGGCTGCTGCTGGACCATTCTTCTTGGCGTGGAAGGAAGGCAGAGGAGAAACAGAAAGCAGAAAGAGCCTGGCTTTCCTAGCTAGGGGAAAGAGCCTGGCTTTCTAGCTAGGGCAGCCTAACCAATGTGAAATATTCGTGTTAAAAAAAATGGTTACTACAGAAAGTCACTGTATGGTTCAGTGAGACTGTGTCATCACACCTCCTGCCCATTTGAAGGTCCAGGCCAATCCCCTCATTTTTCAAAATGTTACAAGACCATTTAATTCTCTGGATTTACATATCCTGCTACTACATTTATCATCTATCCTGTTTTACTTTTTAAATGGGGTGAAACATACATATTATTTTAGTTATTTAGTGTACGTTTCAGTGAAATTGAATTCAGTGAGCTACATTCATGATGCGGTGTCAATAATGAGAAAATCTAGATTCATAATCTAAACTTAAAAAACAATGATTGAGGCCTGGCGCGGTGGCTCAAGCCTGTAATCCCAAGCACTTTGGGAGGCCGAGACGGGTGGATCACAAGGTCAAGAGATCGAGACCATCCTGGCTAACACGGTGAAACCCCGTCTCTACTAAAAAATACAAAAAACTAGCCGGGCAAGGTGGCGGGCGCCTGTAGTCCCAGCTACTCGGGAGGCTGAGGCAGGAGAATGGCGTAAACCCGGGAGGTGGAGCTTGCAGTGAACTGAGATCCCGGCCACTGCACTCCAACCTGGGCAGCAGAGCGAGACTCCGTCTCAAAAAAAAAAAAAAAAAAAAACAATGATTGCAGAAATCAATGGAATAGAAAACAGGAAATCATCTGAGGAAAAAAGCCAGTTCTTTGGAAACATCAGTAACATTGATAAACCTCTACCTTGGCTACCCATAGATGAAAGAAAGATGTTACAATGTACTAATAGTATCAATTGAAGAGGAGTTAAATCAAACAATAATAAAGGAATATTCTGAACACATCTATGCCCACGATTTGATCCATTAGATGAAATGAGCTAACTCCTTTTTATCTATTTTAGAAGACCAAAAGTCTTCTGGTCTTCTTCAAATGAAAAATAGATCATTTGAATAGGCCTATATTTATTTTAAAAATGGAATCAATAATTAATAATCTTTTGAAAAAAGGAAAAAACAAAAAAGTATATTCATATGGTTTCACTGGAAAAAAAAAATTCTACCAAAATTCTTCTTCTTTTTTTTTTTTTTTTTACAACACAGTCTTGCTCTGTCACCAAGCTGGAGTGCAGTGGTGTGATCTTGGTTCACTGCAACCTCTGAGTCCCTGGTTCAAGCAATTCTCCTGCCTCAGCCTCCCAAGTAGCTGGGATTACACGCCCTGCTAGTTTTTGCATTTTTAGTAGAGCCGGGGTCTCACCATGTTGGCCAGAATGGTCTTGATCTCCTGACCTCGTGATCTCCCTGCCTCAGCTTCCCAAAGTGCTGGGATTACAGGCATGAGCCACCGTGCCCAGCCCCAAAATTCTTACAAAGAAAAACCTGGTCTTATCATATAAGCAAGTAATCACAATCCTAAGTATTCCTTTAGTTACATTTTAAAAATTATGTTTCCACACTTTTACACTGTTGGTGGGACTGTAAACTAGTTCAACCATTGTGGAAAACAGTGTGGCGATTCCTCAAGGATCTAGAACTAGAAATACCATTTGACCCAGCCATCTCATTACTGGGTATATACCCAAAGGATTACAAATCATGCTGCTATAAAGACACATGCACACGTATGTTTATTGCAGCACTATTCACAATAGCAAAGACTTGGAATCAACCCAAATGTCCATCACTGACAGACTAGATTAAGAAAATGTAGCACATATACACCATGGAATACTATGCAGCCATAAAAAAGGATGAATGTGTGTCCTTTGTAGGAACATGGATGAAGCTGGAAACCATCATTCTCAGCAAACTATCACAAGAACAGAAAACCAAACACCGCATGTTCTCACTCATAGGTGGGAATTGAACAATGAGATCACTTGGACACAGGAAGGGGAACATCACACACTGGGGCCTATTGTGGGGAGTGGACAAGGTGGAGGGATAGCATTAGGAGATATACCTAATGTAAATGATGAGTTAATGGGTACAGCACACCAACATGGCACATGTAAACATATGTAACAAACCTGCACATGTTGTGCACATGTACCCTAGAACTTAAAGTATAACAATAAAAATAAATAAATAAAAATTATGTTTCCAAACAAGACACAGCAAGGTTTTTAATAGCTATATTCATAATTGCCCAAACTGAAGGCAAATATCTAAACATTTGAGGTGTCCTTTACTATTAAAAGTGAACTGAGCCTGGGCAACATGGTGAAACCCCATCTCGACAAAAAAAAAAAAAATAGAAAAATTAGCTTGACATGATGCCTTAGTGCCAGTTACTTGGGAGCCTGAGGTGGGGGGAACACCTGAACCTGAGGAGGTCAGGGTTGCAGTGAGCTGTGATTGCACCAATGCACTCTTGGATGACAAAGTGAGGCCTTGTCTCAAAAAAAATAAAACAATAATTTTGAATTTTGAATTTAAGAAATCTCTGGCCAGGCGTGGTGGCTCACGCGTGTAATCCCAGCACTTTGGATGGCCAAGGCAAGTGGATCACGAGGTCTGGAGATAGAGACCATCCTGGCTAACATGGTGAAACCCGCCGGTACTAAAAATACAAAAAATTAGGCAGGTGAGGTGACACGCACCTGTAGTCCTAGCTACTCAGGAGGCTGAGGCAGGAGAATCGCTTGAACCCAGGAGGCAGAGGTGGCAGTGAGCCAAGATCACGTCACTGCACTCCAGCCTGGGCAACAGAGTGAGACTCCATCTAAAACAAACAAATTCAAATATTTGGGACTGAATTATCCCAATTATTAGCTACCTAAAGGGATGGGAGAAAAGAAACAATCTGGCCCTTACCTGTTCCTTCATTTAGGTACGAAACCAGCTGGATAAGCAAGGCTGGAGAATGGGATGGGGACTCCAAAACTGGGGTATTTGAATTTTCATTGAGAAAAGGAAGAGACTAGATCAAAAAAGCCTCAGTATCTAAGACAAGAGGCAGAGCCAACCTTTGTTCCCCATGCCCAGACCTGGGAAAGGTGGCTATGGGCAGGAGGGAGCTGGCAGCTGAGGATGTCTCTGGGGATGAGGGTATGGGAAGGGGGTGAGGGTGGCCAGAGGTGTGCCAGAGAGTAAATGGAACCCATGGCTTTTTTACCTGTGGGCATCTTTTGGTTGCTGATGTGCTGCAGGTCGTGGCCCTCCGTGGCTCCCACATCCAGCTTGCCAGGCTCTACAGTAGTGGATTCTGATTTTGTAGCAGCCACAGCCTCATAAAAATCAAATTCATAAGGGGATGCTGCCTTTGCCCTGTGCCAGCCACAGGTGGAACTGACTTTGGGGCACACACAACAGGTCAATATATTCCCCATGGGATATCTACAGCCTCTCCACTCGTGCCTGAGCCTTTGATGAAACTGAAACGGTGCTGCCCGAGCAGCCACACTACTGAGGCTGGCACAGCACTTGTAGAAGCAGCTTGACTCTAGGCAGATCTGGGGCCTCAGCCCTTAATTTGCCACTACCTCCCCAACTTAGTTTGGGTCTATGAGGTCGGGGATCTGCTGTTTTACTTCAAAAAGAAACACAGCAGATCTGGGGCCTCAGCCCCAGTAATTTGCCACCACCTCCCAACTTAGTTTTGGGTCTATGAGGTCGGGGATCTGCTGTTTTACTCTGCAAAGAAACAGCATTTTTTTGACAAGTACCCGGAGGCACAAAAACTGCTGGGACACAGCACAGTCGAGCTCCTCCTCCTCCTCCTAGCTACTGACTGAGGGCTGCTGGCCCTGGCTGATGCCCTATAACCCACAAAGCCTATGTCACCTGGTTGGGCCAGGGAAACAGCCAGGCCAGGCTAGTGACTCAATGTCCAGCCCCACAGCCCCACCCAAGGCCCACAATGCCCATCCCTGCCGGGCTGCCCACTCCAGGCCACCCTGCCCTCTGTGCTGGACTGCACTACCTGCGGCTTTCGTGGTCTTCACCCCTGGGCTGCCTTGCTTCAAGGTCCTGAGAAAAGCAGGGTTGTTATTGAAGTTACACTTGGCAAAAAACTCAATGTAAAACCCTGGTACAGCCAGGCACAGTGGCTCACGCCTGTAATCCTAGTACTTTGGGAGGCTGTGGGGGGTGGTGGACTCACCGAGGTCAGGAGTTCGAGAACAGCCTGGCCAACATGGTGAAACCCCATCTCTACTAAAAATACAAAACATTAGCTCTATGTGGAACCCCATCTCTACTAAAAATACAAAATGTTAGCTCTGCATGGTGGCGGGCATCTGTACTCCCAGCTACTCGGGAAGCTGAGGCAGGAGAATTGCTTGAATCCAGGAAGTGGAGGTTGCACAGTGAGCCAAGATCACGCCCTTGCACTCCAGCCTGGGTGGCAAGGGTGAAACTGTCTTGAAAAGAAAAGAAAAGAAAAGAAAAGAAAAGAAAGAA